AAAAGCCTCTTCAGATTTTTGGTTTCTGGAGCAGCATCAGCAGCCAGCGACAGCGCGGTCTCCTGACCCCGCAGGGAACCTTTGCTGTCACCCTTCCCATCAGCTGCGCCGTCACCGTGCCTGTCCTTGTGGTGTCTCTCTAAATGATACCTCAGGGAAGTTTTCTGGGCTGCTGCATACTCACAGAATTCACATTTGTACGGCTTTTCACCTGCAACACAGATTTATCGGTAAGTAAGTCTGAGATTTGAAGTCTCGATCACAAGCACAAGGGAATATTGTGGACTCTGAAACACTAAAACTGATTTTTCTCACCCCTTCCACACACTCCTAAGTCCCAAACTCATTTAAAACATTTAAACAACGTATCTTAATGCTTTTACTAACTACAGTGACCTCTTCTGGCTGTGCTGGGATGTTTCCACACTCTGGCCAGGGATGGAGATGGGAGCTGGACGTGTTTGGCAGAGAAAAGCAAGGAGTGGAACTCTGAGTAACCCCGGCAAGATGCAGCCCTTGATCACCCCACAAGTGTCCTGTTCCCAGCACAAACGGGACAGCTCAGCTGCACACAGAGCTGCTCCCCAAAAAAACACACAGGGAGGGCTTGTCTGGCTATGCAGAACAAGGAGTTGAGTTGAAAATGAGACTCAGCTTTTCCCCAGGTAGCAGCAGCTGGCAGACAACCAACCTAACACTTGAGAAATTGGCTGGTTTTTAAATTAAAACCAAACCTTTGGAACTTTTGCTACACGGCTGAAAGCAGAAAAAAATTAAAACTTTAAAAATATATAGATTTAACAATACTTAGTGTAATTAGCATTCAAAAATACTTACACTTAAGTAAATAATTGAAATAAGTTTTAATTGCAATTACTTAATTTTGTTTATAATTAGAGAATTAGAAACTTTATAATTAGAAACTTTATTCTTACTACCAGCAATTTTGAAGGCAGTTTCTGTTTTTCATAAGCAAAATCCTACTTTCTATCCAAGTAGATTCAGCAGATTTCCCTCCCCTCCCAGAAAGGTGCAGCCCCATTTACCTGTATGAGTTCTGAGATGAATATTGAGGTAATAATTGGAGCGAAAATACTTTCCACAGTAGCTGCATTCTCTGGAGGTTCCAAGGGTTTTAACTTTTGTTCTTTCCAAACTGTCTTCATTTTTATCTTTGGGAGAAAATACAGGCAAATTATGAAGAGCAAATGCAAATTTGTAAACAGTAAACAGACAGTCTTGTTTAATACTGTAACTGTCTTTTTAAATAATAAACATGAAATTATGAACTGCTGGCAAATTCTACACTCTGCAAGTAACTTTTGCTCTGTTTTGTTGCACTTTGAGTAAAAAGAGCACAAGAGTTAAAAAGGTTTCTGTCCAGAACACTGTGGTTTGTGACAGTGACCAAGGAGCCCAGAGAACAAACAAGATGCAAAAGAAGATTCAAAGAAGAAGAAAAAAGTTATTTTTATCGACCTACAGGACCCTGATGGAGAATGGCCCATCTCAAATATTCCCACAGGTTATAAACTGTATTATTTTATTAAAGGGAATGCTGCAATCAGTCTGAGTGGGATGATTCAGCCTAAAAATGTGCTCTGTGCACACCAGCCAAACACAGAGAGGTGGGGAAGGAAGGCAAATACACTTTTTGAGATTAATTGTAATAATGATATTATTTATCTGCTAATCAATAGAATGTCTGTAGAGAGACACTCCTTAGATTTGATGAGGAATATTTTCTATAAACTCCTGAGATTTGATGAGGAATATTTTCTATAAACTCCTGAGATTTGATGAGGAGTATTTCACTGTATTAACACGGAGTCAGGCAGTGCCGGGGTGTCCCAATGGGTGCTCTGGGTATTCCAGGAACAAATCCAGGGATGTTCAAGCTGCTGGTGCAGAGGCAGGAGGTGCCACAGGAGGGCGGCAGGGACAGAGGAATGGCAGAGAATTCACCCAAACACCAGCAGCAGCCACAGAGACTGCGCTGAGCTCCCTCTGAAAATCCAGACAGCTCCACTCAACAGCCACGGCAAGGCTGACTGCAACACGAGGAGGAAGGAGACCTCTGGTGTGACTAAGAAATCGGATATATAATAGACTCCAAAGAGTTCTTTGAGGTTCCTGCCTGTTGGAAAGTTTCTGTGCTGGAAATGCTGCTCATGGCTCAGCCCTGGTGAGTTTAAACAAACAGCTCGTGTCTCCAGAGCTGTGACTCAGCAGCTCACACCAGAATCTGCTCTGCTTTAGGATAAGGCGCTGAGAAACAAAATAAGCAACTTCACATTAGGTAATCGTTTCATTCCTTTGTTCCTGCAGGCAAAATAAAGGGCTGCACATTACCAGAAATGGCAAAGTCAGGCCTGTGTGGGTGCCAGGACATTCTGTACGTCGTGTCTTGCCCTGAGATTATGCAAGTGTCTGTTCTTTAAAGCCGGCTGGGAGCATGTCACACCGAGAACGGCAGATTAGCTGCGAGACTTTCTGCCAGGCCTTTTGTCCCCTGACATGCAATCTTTTTCAATTAAGGAATCATTCGGTATCACTTGCTTTTCTAAGACACTGTGACATGCAGAATTAATCCTGGGTGATGCACAGATGGAGCCCATCCATGCTGTCAGCAATCCTTCCAGGCAGAGGAGTTAAATATACACCTCTCTTACATACAGGTCCACATATTAACAGCCTGTGTCCTTACACAAATGATTCAAACGTGCTGGTTCTGACATTTAGGCTTTGAAATTACTCTTCAAAACGAACACTGAATTTGCAGTTAGACAGAAAAAAGTTTTAAACTATTCTTTACTTCTCAGAACCTTAAAAACTGCTGGTGTCAAGCACTGAAGATTTTTTGCCCTTTCTAGATAAAGGGGGGGAAGTAAGTGAAACTGCAATTATTTCTTATAAAATACTCTTTGTAAAAACATGTGCTGGATGAGAAGGGATATGGAACACTCAAAGGATCCAGTAAAGTTAGAGATAAGGGCTGAGTAAATAGGGATTTTTTTCCGATTGTTCAACTCATTGTTAAGAAATCTACTTCAATGACTCCAGTAACTGTAAGAAGCCCCAACACAACTTCAAAGACCTCAAAATGGCAGCATCCAAACCTTCCTCACCCTCCTGTTTTTTTCTGTTCCCTTTCCCCCACCACAACATTCCCGAGCTAGTTTTTTTAACATTTCCTATCACATTCTGAAAAGATAACAGAAAAGCACGACGCATTCTTTGACCCTAAGGAGTTCCTAAACAACTCTCAATAACAGCCACTCCAAACTGAAGTGCTCCCATGCTACTCACCTAAATGAACAGTTTCTGGAAGCCCATCTTCAGAGCCATCCTCAGAGCCTCCTTCCATCCTCTCTGCTGCCCCGTTCTCCTCCAGGTTGGCAATGATATCGGCACAGTAGGTCCTGGCAGCACCGGAGGTCTCTCCATCACCCCGCCGGTCCCTCTTGTGCACTCTGGAGTGAAGGACCAGCTGGTGGTATGTCCTGAAGGCTTTCCCACACTCAGAGCAGTGGGTTGGCTTCTCTTTGTTCTGGGATGATTTAGAATCCATCTCCATAGAAGGCACTTCACCAGCGGGATGTTTCAGTTTGTCCTGGGTTAAGTTACCATTCCCTGTGAAACTGCTGTTTTTATTTACCTTTGACTTCCCTGTAGTTTCAGCCTGGCTACCTTTATTTGCATTCCAAATTTCACAGAGTTCTTCTTTATCTGAAGATGACTCATCATTGTCTGTACTTCCTTCTTGCCCTGGTTCTTTAATTTGCCCGTGGCCAACTGCAATTTTACCTTTGGTAGCCAGCTGCCATGCTTGATACGTGGTGAAAGGATCCAGCTCAGCGATCCACTTTGCCAGTTTCTGCAGTTTGTCCTTTTCTGGAACTGAATTTGGTCTTAAATTCAAGAATTGGAAAAATTCCTGGTTTTGAGATGTTTCTTCTGCATCGATTTCAGCAGTCACTTGGGGGCTTTCACCATTGGGAACTGATTCTTTGGTGTGCACTTTACTGTGCTCAATTAGAGTCTCTTTATTGTGAAATAGGAAACCACAGACCATACAAATTTTGTAAGGTGACGTTACGTTTTCACTTACGTGCTCCTGCACCACCTCATTTATTGTTATGGGCCCTTCAGAACCTTGTTGGTGCTTGTTTCTAGAACCAGGTTTTCCAGTGTGCGTTCTCATGTGATTTTTGAGGAACCACGGCTCTTTAAATCTTCGCCCACAAACATTACACCAATAGGTGAAGGAATCTTTATGCTTTTTCATGTGCGCCTCGATGTCAAAAGCTTTATCAAAAGTTTGCCCACAAACTTTACAGCTCAGTTCTTCACTATCCTGCTCGTTGCTGGGTGAAGGAGAGCTGGTCCTTACCTGACATTTATCCAGAGGACTGAGATATTCTGCCTCCACCCTGAGCACGGCGGGCTCGCACAGCGTGGGCCTGTGCTGAGTTAACACGTGCTTGCCCAGCTCCTCGGGGTGCTTAAAAGTCTCATCACAGAACATGCAGTCCAGGGGCATGCAGCCCTCAGCCTGCAGCAGGAATTTCTCCTGCAGGCTTTTGTAGGAGATGGTGTTGGTTCCTTTGATGGTCATGGAGGCGTCGCTGGTCTCCATCTGGGCACCCACGGCGCTGGCGATTCCCTCGGGTCCGTCCATGTATGCCAGGAGGGGCTGCGTGGGCATCTTTCCTCCCTGCTGCTCCCTTTTACATCTCTCAGTGGCAGCCTGCACTTCTCTGGGGGTGCTCCCTGATCACAGTAAGGACACTTGTGGAGTTCTCCAACATGTGCTTAACAAGTCTGCTCAGCTGGAAAACCTTTGCCAGAAAAATGAAATATTTTTTTTGTTTGTTTTTTTATTTTTTTTTTTTCCACCAGCAAAAAAATTATTTCTTCTTCAGCTTTATGTGCTTTCACACATCCCAGTAAATGTATCCAAAGGCTCGCTCAGTGATGGGATGAGGTTGGTTTTTTTTAATTGTTTCTTCAGATTTTTCAAGTCTACAGATACAGTCAGTTGCACTTAGTTTTGTTGCACAAATATTTCAAATAGTTGCATTGGGTAAAATACACTCAAGGCCAAGTTCAGTGCCACAAAGAAACTCCAGCACCTGGGAAAGAAAGAAAGAAAAGAGTTAGTCAGATTTTTCAGAAGTATTGTCTCCCAAACAATGAAAATATTAGGGCTGAGCACCATCGAGCGCTTCAGAACAAAGCACATTTTTAAGAGCCAACGAGGGATAGGTAGAAAGCACCTGGGTCACTTTTCTCCCTGCCACAGTTGAAATAATTTGCTTTTGAACATCCCTCTGTCTACAACTGTTATTTCTTTGCAACACTTGGTCCCTTCTAAACCTGCTCTTCCCAGTTATATAAAGCTGCTGAAACCATATTTCAGTGCACTCCTGAATTCATAACAAACGCAGGAGCCCAAGTAACCCTCCCTTGAACCTGGAAAATCACAGCACAACTTCACTTGCATGTCCTCTAAAGGCTGTTAAGCAAAAGGTTGTTTGTTTTGTCGGGTTTTTTTTTGGTTTTTTTTTTTTAAGATCAGACAGCTTGGAAACATCTTTTATAGTTCTGGTACACAGGGAGTGTCAGCACAAATCTTTGCATTAAGAACCATCCACCAGTCCCACTACTCAAAGCTTTCCCTATTACCCACACATTTACAATGGGCTGTACAATATAAGAACATCTCAAAATTTTGTATGAATTAATGCTGTTTCTTGAACAGTGGTTTAGTATTTAAATCATCCAAGAGTCCAATTATTACGTAATAAAAACAAAATTCTTCTACTTTAGAAGCAGCACAAAACAAAAAATGATTTATTGATTATACTCATAAAGGAAGGTTTCAGATTTCACAAGGCTAAAAAGTGTTATAATATAGTTAATCACAACTCCAATTTAACTCTAAGTCTAACGAGTTATAATGCCTGCTAGCAGCAAGTCATGGGCCACCACTTTGGGCTGATAAATTCCAATTTTGTGGAGTTCAGGACTCCAGTTGATGAAATTTTAGGGTGAAGTCTAGCAAACTAATACAAGACAAATATAAACTGCAGAAGAATCATTCTGAGACATTTCCAAATAAAGTAATAACTAATGAAAAGAATTCATTCAAAATCTGACTCAAACTTTGGCAAATTATTTCCTAAGAGCCAGCTGGCCAGTGACCACATGACTTAAATTAATATGCCCCAAAACACATTATGTTCTGTAACTCTTAGAGCAGAAAACACAGCATGGATACTGGGAGTTTAAAATTCACCTCCATTTCCACCTCTGCCTTGCTTTTATATGGAAAAAAATGAAGCATTTTGTTAAATTTGACCCAAAGACAGGACAATTGAACCACAGCCAACAGGCTGTTGGGTTTCCATGATAAAGATGATTATCAGATGACTCTCAGCTATTTCTGATCAGAGCTGGTTGGACAGAAAAAAAATGGTGTTGAGGCATGAAATCTTAAAACCATTTCAACAGAAATCAGCCCAGGCAAGAGAAGGAGCTGGGGAAGGAAAGCTCAGCACACACTGGCAGGAGTCATGGATCCAACATCTCAAACACTTCATCCACTTCCTGCAGCCTTGCCCTGAGAACACTCCTTGCTTTTAATTTGAGAAGTCAGCACCTCCTTTCCCATCATGCAGACCACAAGATCCTGGGGCCTAATAAACATGGGGTAAAAATAGAAAATAAAATAGAAAATAAAACACCACTACACCAGAATGCCAGTAACAGGAGAAAATTATTGTTGCCAGCTGCCTGCCTTTCATTTTTTTTCTGTTTTTCCCAAGCTTCGAGTCTCTTCACTGCTCAGTCCTCTAACCCAGGTTTACACAATCAGCACAATTCATTATATCACGAATTTTCTAGGGTTTTTTATCCCAAATTGTTTCAGGCCTAGGCCAAAGACTTACCCCACATGAAACACAAATGCAGGGTAAGGTGTAAGAGAAAACAAATCACTGCTGATGGCGACAGAACCTGGATTTTCTGCAGCCAAAGTCTCTTTCTGAACTACGCCCTTTATCCCCACTTTCAGTTGTATCTCTGCCATGATTAACACTTCCTCTCTGCAGAATGAATCCAAAATCTCCTCTAATAGGCACGTTCAGGCTGTGGGTGACACTTCTGCTTCTACTGCAGCTTTTGCCTTTCTCCCTTCCCCCACTGCCCATAGCAACTGAAGGAGCAAGAACCAAAGTCTGAAGCTCAAGTATTCAAAAAACTTTTTCCCTTTTGTAAAACATCAGGTAAACACGTATCAAAGGCTGCTGGTTAGCATGTTTTACACTTCATGTTTCAACTTGCCTTTTTGTTCTATTTCTACTGGAGTTTTAAGAGGTATTTTTTAACTAACATGCTACAGCAAAGCTCAGTGAGTATCTGCCTGAAAATAAGTTTGAAATTAAAAAATGAAAAAAAAAAAAAAACCAGGCAAGATTTAAAAAAAGTGGAAGAAATTTAAGAGTAGAGTGCATTTGCTTTCAGAGCCATAGGGAAGTGCTGTACAGGAAGAAGTGCAAAATCATGCTCGAGAGGCCAGAGGCATTTCTGGGGCATGAAGGCAGATCCAAAGGGCAGTGCCTGAAGTGCCACAAAGTGAACTGCTGGGATTCATCAGCCACTGCTTCCTTGCTCATGTCTACAAACAGAAAAAGCCAATTAAGGTTTGTCAGGCTCCCACTTTGTGGCACTACAACAAACACACAATAGAGCAACAAGAATGAAGTCACTGGGGAAAGCAAACAGAGGAGAAGCAGCAAAATAAAATCCACCCTCAGTGCCCTGTCCTTGGTGGCACTGTGGGCTGAGCTGAGGGAGAGGAGAGCTCATGGGCCACCACACATGGCCCTACACAAACCCAGCCCAGGATAAAACAACACTGGGACACCACAGCTCCGGGGTTTTTTTAAGAATTTAAGCGACAGGCAAAGATCACATCTAAGGAAGGCCCCAAGGTTGGCCACTGATGGGTGAAAAATCCACCTCAATCAATCAATCAATCAATCAATCAATCAATCAATCAATCAATCAATAACGTGTTGTCTGATAAGTCTCTGGAAACAGGGCTGCTTCAATCCCATCTCAGCTGTCTGGTGAACAAAACCCGTCCTCCCAACCACACAGAGTGCACAGCCAGCACCTGAGTCACGACAGGAGCTCAACAGGAGCCTGGGGCCAATTTTGGTGGCTATCAATAGGTTTAAATCCCTTTGGACACTTCACCAGAGCACTCTGCACCCTCCACCAAGTGGTGCTGGCTGCTCAGTGCTCACTGCTTTTCACAGAGGCTCTGAACAGTTCTAAGAATCAGCCACAGCTCCTCCTCCAGGCAGCACTGCAAACAGAGCAAGATATTCCTGTTCCAGGAATCTGAAATGCCTCTTTGCAGCTCCTGCTCTTGGATACACAGGAGAGAGAGCACCTACAGAGTGGGGAAAAAACTGCAGGTAGCGTTTCTGCAGGAAAGTGCAGATGCAACTAGACAGGAATGTATTTCAACTGAGAAGAAAGAATACGAGTTCTGGAGTCAGGAGGTGAGTTAGAAAGCTCCAGTCTCATTCTGTATCTGGTGATTACACATTCACTCTGATTAGATCCATGGCTTTTACAAGTAGGCAGATTTTATGCTCTTGCTGTTCAGACAAGTCAACACATGCCAGAACTACAACCCAAATATCCCCACCAGGATTTTATCCATTAGAAACAAACCTTTCTTCCTACTGAAGATAGTATGCCTTGGATTTGAGGACCAAAAATGCTGATTAATTACATTCCTGTTATTCAAAACCCTGTAGCCAGCAGGAAAACTGTCCAGAGTTGACTCAATTCTGTTGCTTCCTTGGAAAAGTGGACAACCTGCAACAACTGTGACTGTGGCTGAAGCTCTGTGCAGGAGCTCAACAAATAAAATACAGTACCTGCATTTCTTCTGCCTTCTTTCACTTTCAGAAGACAAAAGGACACATCAGTATCAGAGATACTGAGTAAAGGAACAGAACAAAACAGGAAATCCTTCCTTCCAACAGCTGAAAAGCGATAAACTCGCTACACATGAACTCAAGGTTGAAAATAAAGAACTATCTATTCCCCTTACAAAGAAAGCCAAGAAATGCCACTTGTGACTCCCCTGTCCCTCCTGCCCAGCCCAGGGCCCACAGGTTCCAGGGGCTGCTCCCAGGGGAGTGAGCAGGGCAGGAGGAACTGGCACAGCTGCCCTGGACTTCTCCTGGAGTCACCAACTCATCTCAATTCCACCTACTGCACTTGAAACAACTAGAAATATATTTCAGCTGAGAAGAAAGAATAAAACTACTGGAGAAGTTTTAGCCTGAGCATTCAGCAAACTTCAGCTCACAAATGAGTCATCCCTGGCTGAGTATTATAGCAGGTTCACAGCAATACATATTATATTTATAAACACCACAAAACAGCCATAAAGATTCCACGGGACAGATGAGAACATCTTGTTTTCATTGCACTTGCCACAGAACCTAAGAACCACACCAAAACCCTGCTGCATATAAATGGATTATTAAAACAGAGAAAAGTTTAATTAAGTGCCTGTAGAGAAATTTAATTTATTTTTATTAAATTACACAACCCAAGACAACATATTACAGTCTTGAAGATTTCTTTGGGAAATGACCTATCAGGAGTAATTTTATTGCATTTCTACTTCCTGCATTTCAAAATTTCCATGAATATGTAATAAAAACTCTAGACACACCTTTCGGAGAATAGCAAAGTCTAACCATTGAATTTCCCATTTTAAACACATTACAGAGGCACTGGGAATAAAAGTTGCATGGCAAGTCTCAGGATAAACAACTATTCTTTGTTAATTCTGCGCTGCAAAACTATTGTTAAACTGTTAAAAGCAACCTGGAACAATTACAGAAGTTCAAGTAGTTGCTGCAACACTTTGTGAAAAAGAGAAGTGAAAAAACTCAGAGAGTTACAGCCAAATCCAGGACACTAAAGTTACTTTTCTTCTCTGGCAGATAAAAATTCAGACACAACTACCTCAACAAACCCCTATTCTCAAATTCAAGGCCAGCAGCAAAATTACCACTGCTTAGCTGAGCAGCTTCTT